CCGGCGGAGCGAGCGGGCGAGCGGCGGAGCAGCGGCGCGCGGCGCCCGGCGCAGGCAGCAGCTGGTGTTCGCTGTAACAAACAACTTGCCACTCAAACGCCGGCCCGCTGCGCATGCGCTGCCGCGCAAGGCCTGATGGAACTTGTAGTCCACGCGCTGCCGGGGCGCCGCGGGCTGCTGGAGTCGAGGGGGAAGGGGCTGAGTATCTGCGCCGTGGATGCGCTGGAAGTGCGGCGGCGCGGGGCTCTGCAGGCCCGCCGAGGAGTCCGAGGGGAGACCGCAGGCATTTGGAGCCAGTCTGAGCCTGGGTGTATGCTCTTGTTATTTATTTTAGCTCCAGGCAAAGCGATTTGGCGGGAGAGGGGTGGGACGCCAAGACAACTCCGTCGTTGGAGGAGGCCCCGACCTGGGAGGGGAGAGGTTTAGAGAAATCCGTAGAGCGCAGAGAAGCTAAACCGAAAGGGCGTGTTGGGGACAAGGAGGTGGGGTCCAAGAGGGCTGCCCCTCTGGGAGGGAGGGGACATCCAGGCTGGGTTCTGAAGGATGAATCGGAGCTCGCGGGCAGGGGGAGGGGCGCGTGGACCGAGGGCCGCGGCCTTTCAGGAAGAAGGGACAGCATGTCCTAAGGCACAGGAGCGTGAAAGCCCCCACGGTGCTGTGTTTGGCTTTGTTGCAGCGGAAAAAAGCGAGAGAGGAGAGACGAGAGATAAGGCAGGCGCGGTAACCAGGACTCAAGTCGCGAGGGTCATGTGTGTAGAGCTAATGAGGCGGCCGGCCGGGCCTTATCCCTCGGGAGAGGGAGCGACGGGGCCGCAAGGGCCGGATGGGGGGGATCTGAAAACGTCGAGTCACTTCCAACCTCAGAGCCGAGGTGCCATTCCCCAGACATTGACCCCTTCGTGGGTGAGTGGTTTTGAAATTTTCTAGGTTAGAGGTACTGGTGCTTTGCCCTTTGGCAGAGGAATTTGGCGACTTCGTGGCTCAGGTCTACCTGCTGGGGCAGGCTGGGAACCCTCCTTTTGAGGGAGATTCCGGCCGATCTCCCCATTCTCAGCCCTCATGGGTTAGATAAGAATGTTACTAGGCGCCTTTCCACCAGTGGGTGTGGGACCTTTAATCTTGGCTAAGTCTCAGAGATGCCTGCTTTCCTCTTGTTTTATGTTCACTGAAGAATTTACCACCCTCCAATACAGAATATATACAAAAGATATTACCTTTCTTCCTTGTCTGACCCTTCACCCACCCTCGGCTAAATCTCCACTCAATAAAAACAATGATTTAAAAAAAAAATTGAAAATGGGGCTGGAACCCAGGGCCTTCTCACCGAGCTGTACCTCCAGCCCTTTTCTGTTTTTGAGCCAGGGTCTCACTGAATTGCTAAGTTGCCCAGGCTTGCAGTATTGCCTCAGTCTCCCAGAGTGCTGAGATTACAGCTATGTGCCCCTGTGTGCTGCTAAACACAGCAATTTTTGTCTGTTCTCTGCTGTATTCCCAGTCTGGGGCCTACAGACTGGCACATGAGAGACCCTCACTCAATATTTTGGGAACCCATAAATGCATCCTCGGTGCCTTTTAGACCCATGGATCCACAAGGCCCAAATAGCAGTGCATTCAGGCCTTTAAGATAGCGCACATCAAGCGGGCCAGAATGGCAGCAGAGAAGACTGGCCTGCCCGAAGGTACAACTTTTAATTTCTACCAAAACAACCAACAGGTGACGAAACAAAACAAACAAGGCTAATGGCGGGATTTGGGCAGTTTTCTGACTTCTGCTCTGGATGGCTCAAGTCTGTATTTTCCAGTATGTGGGCTATGACCCATGAGTGGATGGCGAAATCAATTGAGCAGGGTACAGCTGACATAGGAAGAAAGAAAGAAAGAGAGAAAGAGAGAAAGAGAGGAAAGAAAAGAAAAGGAAAGAAAGAAAGAAAGAAAAAGAAAATAGACGTGTCCTGAGTACTGCACATAGCAAGCACAGGTTACGATGACCTTTTCTGTGTCTTAGGAAACCCTGGTTTTGGCCATGTGCGCACGCAGGCATGTGTATCTGCGTCTGTGTGTGCGTGTGTGTTGGATCTTCATAGAAAGCTATTTCTTAACATGAGTCTTGGTTGAAAATGTTGGAAAGCACTGTGGGCTTTATATTTAATCAGGTCAAACTAAGTTTGCAAATTTCAATGTATTGGCTTGACTTGCAGAATTGCTTCCACCGGATTGTATTTGGTGCTTAAGATTTCCGTGAAGTTTAACTCCTGAAGGTAATGTTCAGATGTTAGGGAAACTGACTTCTGGGTTGCCAAGTCCCAAGGATAGTTGTAGGCTGGGATGAGGGTGAGACCAGAGAGGCACCTTGGGCAACCACCTGAAAGGGACAATGACTCTCAAGGCTGTGCAAGGGGTGGATGCCATCCCAGAATTCCCTTGTCTCTTTGATCCCTAGCCCTTCCATCTTCTGGTCCTTTGCTAGTTCCTTTTGGTTCCTAACTGGTTTCTTCCTAACTGCTCAACCTTAAGTGTTCCTTCCTGCGGTATATTATAGCAGTAGCTGCCTGTAAATCATGTCTTCTGGAAAGTCCTTCCCCATTGGCTTTGGCGTTGGCCTTGTGGCTTTGGATTCAGCCAGTGAGATAACAGCGTGTGTGCTGGATACACCCTGTGTGTTGGGATTTGCCCTCTTGATGCTGCCCTGGTGACATGCTATAAAGAAACCTGGATGAAAGGCCACAAGGACAGGTCCAACTGACACAGCTGGAGCTAGCCCCTGCCAGCCATGTTAGATGATCTTGGACTTTGCTGCTGACTCTCCAGCTGAAGGTGTATTAGTGCATTTCCCGTTACTATATCAGTATACCCAAGGCTGGGTGATGCGTAAAGAAAAGAGGTGTGTTTAGCTCACAGTTCCGGAGGCTGAAAGTCCATGATTGATTGGGTGCCCATGTTGGTTTGGCATCCGATGAGGGCAGCATGGCGAATGGGATCCCAGTGGTGGGAACAGGTGTAGAAGAGCTCACATGGACAGGTGGAAGGCCAGAGATGGGGAGGGGCCAGGCTTGTTCTTTTCCTTACCACCCACTCTTGCAGGAGCCCACCGGGTCTGGAGAGAATGACTTTAATCCCTTCAAGGGTGGTGCGCTCCAGTGACTTAACCAACTTCTTGGGCCTTCGTCTTATAGTCCTTACTCTGTCTTCACTGGCACCCTGGAGACCAAGGCTCCAGCACATGGGTCTTTGTGCGACAAACCACAACCAAGCACCAGGTGAATCCAGAAGAGAAAAGATCCAGCGACCGTAGAAATGTGAGAGATCGTTGTTTTCAGGCACTGACATTAGAGTGGTGATGCACCTCAGCCCTTGTCACCTCTCACCTGGGCATGACTGTCTCTGGCTTCTAATGCATCAGTGGCTCCCAGGTTTCCCACTCCAGCTCAGAATATCGCCCCACAGCCCTGAGTCACACAGCTGACTTCCTAGTGCTGGCTGTGTTCACCTGAATGTCCACAGGCTTGGTGAAGCCATTGTGTTCAAACAACTTCAGCATCTGACCCATGTTGTACCTGCCAGAATTTTTCCTTCTTCTTCCTGGACTCTCTGTCTTTTTTCTTTTTTGCACTGGCTTTGAATCCAGGGCCTTCACACTGAGCTACATCCCCAGCCCTTTTATTGTGAGACGGGGTCTCTGTAAGTATCTGAGTTGCCCAGGCTGAGCTCAAACTTAGATTCTCCTGCCTCGGCCTCCCAGAGTGCTTTGATTATAGGTGTGCTTCACTACCCCCGGCTCTAAGCCCTGTCTTGGGTGACAGTACCTTCCCAGTCCTTCAAGTTACAAACCTCAGTGGCTCATTGTGTTTTCTGAGATGGCCCTAGATCTTCCGATGTTTGTATTCCTCTTGCAAGATGATCCCGACAGTTGTCACAGTAACAGGCAGATCTACGTCGCTGGCCCTTGAATCTGGGCCAGTCTGTTACTGCAGAGGAAATGACACTGTGTGACGTATGAAACCAGTCCTAAAAGGCAATACTGTTTGCACCTGGTTGCGCTCTTGGGACGCTGGCCCTCAGAACCCACCAGCCATGCTGAAGCAACACGGGCCACCTGGGAAGGCCACCTGGTGGTAGTAGCTTACTAGGGCTACTGTGCCAAAGTACCACAGAGTGGGTGGCTGAAACCAGGGGTCCCCACACATTTTGGCACCAGGGGCCGGTTTTGTGGAAGTCAGTTTTCCCACAGATGCGGAGGGAGGGAATTCTTTTGAGATTATTCAACTGCATTGCACTTATTGTACACTTGATTTCTGTTATTATTACATCATACACTTTATTTGTATCATCATTCATTAGATTATCATAGGACCCTGGATCCCACACATGTGTGATTCACAGCAGGGTCGCCCTCCCTCGTGAATCTAAAGCCCTCTGATCTGACAGGCAGCTGGGCACAGGCAGTGATATAGCTGGAAACAGATGAAGCTTCACTCAGTCCCTAAATTCTTTCAAAGTGGTGTGACCAGCTCGTCTTGTTTTACTTGATGAGTACCCTGGTTTTAAATCTGGAAGTTCCACATACTGAAAAGCATGTTGGTTCTAGGAAAACCAGGAAATGGGTCACTATCTCCCAATCCTACCTGGATATTGTCCAGGACCTGAACTGTGTATCAGTTTTTCAATTTAAAGGAGTGAAAAATATGTAGAGTTACATACCACACAGCCCACACTTAGTGGAGTACAAGGACAGTTACTTTATTAGTTCACAAATTCCATAGGCCATGAATTCAGACAGAACACATGAATCTGGCCTTGCGCTGGGAAGGTGGAAGTGGTGGGTGAGACATGACCGCCTGGG